TCGTAAAAACCAAAAAAAAAAAAATGCAATGAGTTTAAGTTAATGTATTTACATGCTGCATGTGAAAAGATTAATAAATTCATTTGTATTCTTTTCTAAGACTAAGATATATTTAGTATAAATTTCATATGCTCCAACCATTACTTTGCTTTTGTGTATGAAAAAAAATAGGAAACCCTGGCTTTATTTTTCTAAGTTGCTGAATGTGAAATTGATCTTTATCGTTATAAAAGTAATTATCTTGGTGTTATTAGTACTGATTTTATGTCTTTTTAGACTTCCTGCACTCTTTGTCTGATATCATTTATTGTACCAAACAATTTATTATAAATAAATTAGAGATGTAAATGTGCAAATAGAGTATGGTTATTGGATTTCACCTGCTTCCACACTTTAGTCATTTGATTCCTACCGACTTGTTTATCATGCCTTAGGCCTGGAATGTTCTAGCAATAAATGGTTTGTAAAGTAATTTAAAAAATACGAATTAATGTTTGGCTATAAGTTATGTTATCATACATACATGGAAAACATTCCTTGCTAATATGGATTAAAAATTAAATGGACTATTTAAAAATGTTTTTCAACTAAAAAAAAGAGAGAGCAGTTTTATTGAGCAGCAGACAAAGTAGTTAGTTGGTTCGCAGTGATCCCCAGGTCACAGGAAATAAAGGGAACTTTAGATCAGGGTTCTGGGACACAATATCCACCAACTAACTTTTTTTAAATCATTTTTTTGGGTTCAAATGTCAGGGGAAGTTCTTTTCTAGTGGAATCATTCACATATACTGCTTTTGGCTCAAGGAGACTTGGGTTTCCATGACAGACTCTTTGGAGGCGTGGCCTCAGCCATCAGCTCAGGACACAATGGGCAGCATCTCCCTGTGTAGCACCTTCCTTTATGCTTTCCTGTCAGGGCGTCTCAGGCCTCGAGCTGGGGCTGGAGCTCTGTAAAGGTCCTTGGGCTGATGGAGTGGTTGCACTCTGGCCCATGGTCAGGCATGCTGGGCTCTGCTGTTGAGCTGTGTGGAAGTGGGTAGGGTCCTTGTCACCGAGGCGTGGATGTGAAGCAAAACACATTGTTTTCTGCCACTCACAGCTAATGCCCTGGCCCTGACCCAGGTCTGCCTCCAGGGAGTCCCATGATCTTCTGGGGTCATCTCGCCCTGGCCTTTGTACTTGGCTAGGAGCATTAGGCATGTGCTCACGTCCCTTCCATGTTCAAGGTCTCTGCACGCTGGGCAAGGGAAAAGGTGGCAGGCTGCAAGCCAGCATGCCTCTGTAAGCTCAAGGAGCACTGAGTATCAGCCCTGCCCGCACTCTGTAAGGACATCAAAGAGGCCATGGTCTCCAGCCTCCTTCCCATAGAAAAGTGTGTCAGTTCCACTGGTAAGGTGAGCAATTCTTGTCTTTTGTGTGTATCCTGAGTGAAGGACAAATACTTATCCCCAGATCACACCGTTGCCTGTGACTTGCTCATATTTTGCTGAAGATTTTTGACCTGTACTTACAAGGGTTTTCGCTCTTTTTTGTTTGAGATATCCGCTGGCATGATGGCAGTCCTGGCCTTGCAGAAGGGGCTGCAAAGAAGGCCTGCTTCTGTTTTCTGGAAGAGAGTAGGTGATTCCTATGATCCTTTTCTTACAGTTTGGCATAGCATGTACTGAAGAGCCGGTCCTGGGCCTGTTCGTTTTGTTAATTATTAACCATATTATCCAATACATATCAGATTGTCTGTTTCTTCGTGTGTGACTTTTATGTGTTTTCCAAGGAACTGGTCCCTTTTATTGGCTCACAAGGCTTATTCACAGTCACACTTAGATCCTTCTGGTGCTGATGAGATCTGTCCTGTAATGCCATCTCTCTTTCACTGCTGGTGTTAATATGTTGTCTCTTCTGGGTTTTGTTTTGTTTTTTTTCGAGACACAGTTTCTCTGTGACTTTGGAGGCTGTCCTGGAACTAGCTCTTATAGACCAGGCTGGTCTCAAACTCACAGAGATCCGCCTGCTTCTGCCTCCTGAGTGCTGGGATTAAATGCATGTGCCACCAATGCCTGACTGTTTTTTCTTTGATTAGTCTGGCGAGAAGTTTTTTTAAAAAATAAATATTCTAAACTTAAAAAAATTAATTAATTTATTTTATGTGCATTCCTGCCAGATTCCCTGGAACTGGAGTTACAGACAGTTGTGAGCTCCATGTTAGCTGCTGGGAATTGAACCTGGGTCCTCTGGAAGAGCAGCCAGTGCTCCTAACAGCTGAGCCATCTCTCCAGCCCCAGTAAGGAACTTTTTTTTGTTTTTGTTTTTTTGTTTTTTGTTTTTTGTTTTTCGAGACAGGGTTTCTCTGTGGCTTTGGAGGCTGTCCTGGAACTCGCTTGGTAGTCCAGGCTGGTCTCCAACTCACAGAGATCCGCCTGCCTCTGCCTCCCGAGTGCTGGGATTAAAGGCGTGCGCCACCAACGCCCGGCCCAGTAAGTGTTAAGAGAAGCTTTTTCTTGCTAGCTGCTTTAGTTTATCCCCCGCCAGCCGCCTGGGCTCTGTCGCATTGTAGTCCCCAAATAAACACACAAGACGCTGTTGGCCTTGCTTGTTTCTTACTGGCTAGCTCTGACTTAAGTAATTACCCCATAATTGTTAATCTAAGTATGTCTCTTACCGGAGAGGTTTCCAGGCTTCCTACCCCAATGGCATTACATCTCGACTCCCTTGTGTTTCTCCTTCCCAGAATCCTCCTGGACTCCTAGTCCCTCCTATCTAGGTTTCCTATTGGCTCAACAGTACTTTATTGACAAATGCACAGGACTTCCCCCAACAAGTAAGGAACTTTTATTAACCACTTTTGCTAATCTCTTCCAAAAACCAGCCTTGGCTTTGTTGACTTTCTTTTCTGATTTCCTATTTTGAGCCTGATTTCTGTTCTGATTTTTATTCTTTTTGTCTGTATATTCTGGGTTGACTCCTTAGATCAAACTGGGATATAATGAACAAGTTGGTCTTACAATTTGCTTTTCATTTTATAGCTTCCTGCGGTGGCAGAATATTGATTTTGGATCTTTCATTTTTGCTAATCTGTCCATTCCCATACTGCGTATTTCCCTCTGGGCACTTCTCTTGTTGTGTCCCACATGTTTTTGTTTTTGTTTTTGTTTTTTTTGTTTTTTTGTTTTTGGTTTTTACGAGACAGGGTTTCTCTGTATTGTTTTGGAGGCTGTCGGTCGAGCCCAGCCTCGAACTCACAGAGATCCGCCTGCCTCTGCCTCCCGAGTGCTGGGATTAAAGGCGTGTGCCACCACTGCCCGGCTCATCTGTTTCTTGAAGTTCTATTAATATATATTTTTGAGACAAGGTCTATGTAGACCAGGCTGGCTTTGAACTCAGAGATCTGTGTGCCTCTGCCTTCTGAGTGCTGTGATTAAAGGTGTACATCACTATGCCTGGCTTTGTATTTTGTCTCAGGTAGTTTGTGGCTGTTGCTAGGCACACACATTATTTTCTTGGTGAGCTGACCCCTTTGACACCATGTGATGCCCCCTTTCACTCCTGATGCTTTTCCTTGCCTTGAAGTCTGCTCTGTCTGATTAATATAGTGAGTTAGGCTTTCTTCTGATTACTTTTGGCATAGTAGTATTTTCCTTCACCCCTTCACATACATGTGTCTATATCTAAAGTAGATTTCTTTTTATAAAGTTTATTTTTGTGTGCATGTGCTCAAGTTTATGTTTATGTACCATATGCATGCCCACAGAGTCAAAAGAGTGCAATCAGATCATTCAAAACAGGAGTTATAAGAGGTTGGGAATGGCCTTGTGGGTGCTGGGAATTGAACTCAGGTCCTCTGCAAGAGCAATACATGCTCTTTCTTATTTGCTGAGTCATCTCTCCGACCTCCTAAAGTGGATTCTTGCAGAAAACATGTCCTTTGGTTTGAGAATCCCTGTATTTTGGTTTTTGTAATGAGACGGGTAATATTGGGGGTGGTGCTGACAGAGGTTCGATATCTTCCATGCCTGCTCGTGTTTAATCACTTGTTCTGGCTTCATTCGTAGTCTGCCGTTCGTGGTTTTAAGTATTTTATATAATATCACTTTCTCTCTTTTCCTAGTGTCTATCCTAACATTCACAGCACCCATCTACAACTATTCCACGTCCACTTCCAATAACTGTACTGCCTCATGAGCAGCAAAGCTTCCCACACTCCATAACAGCAAAGCATTCCTAGCTCCCACGCTACCTTGGGTCTGTGCTGGGCATTTCACTCACAAAAGCTGCACATGATGCAAACTGCTGTCTGTTAGGCAAGAAAAAATAGAGAATAAAGGATTTTTTCTACTTTAACTTATCCTGTCTTTTGTGTTTTTCCTTGCTTTATATAAATCCAAAATTTTGGTCTTACTCCCTTCTCTCGAAAAAACTTCATTTATTTCTTGCAAGCCCAAATGAGTTTTGTTTGAGAATCTTCAATCTCAAGGGTAATTTTGCAAAATACAATGAAAGTTAGGTTGCTTTATCTCCCCACCTTAGTGTTTTACTGTTTTCTTCTCCCTGTTGTCATTTTTGAGACAGGCTCTCACTGTCTAGCTCGGGCTGACTGTAAACTCCTGATTCTCCTGCCTCAGCCTCCCAAGTGATGGGATTACAGGTGTAGGCCACCATGCCTGGCTCTGATGTAGTTTTTCTTTTTCTTTTGTATTTATTCTGCTCGTGCTCTTTGAGTCTTCTGGATCTGTGCTTTGGTGTCTGATAGGAGTTTTGGGAAATTCAAAGTCATTATTGCTTTAACTGTTGTTTGTGTTTGTTTTTCCCTTATTTTTTATTTATTTATTTATTTATTTTTACAAGACAGGGTTTCTCTGTTTTGTTTTGGAGGCTGTCGGTCCAGCCTGGCCTGGAATTCACAGAGATCCGCCTGCTTCTGCCTCCCGAGTGCTGGGATTAAAGGCGTGCGCCACCACCACCCGCCACCACCACCCAGCTCCCTTATTTTTTTTTAACACATGTTGTAGTTATCCAACAATTCTTGTATTTTCTGCTCCCTGTTCCTAGTCTTTTCATCTTTAGAAGTTTGTAAGACATACCCTTAGGCTCTCCTCATCTCTGACAGCGATCTCTGAGCCTACCAGAGTGTTCTTCATTCTGTGCAGCTGGTTTGATTCCTAGCAATTCCTGACTCTTCCACGGAACACATATCCTCTGCTTGCTACTCTTCTGGTCTTCATGCTGTTGGCCTCTTCCATTAGCACTGCCAGGTAACTGGTTGTTTCAAATTCCCAGTCTGATGCTTCCTGGCTTGCTGAGACAACCAGGGATGGCTTGTCTCTTCAGTCTGATCGTCTTCTGCTAAAGGCTGACTCCATGTGCTGGGTGAGGAATTCCAGGAGCTGAGCCTTTAGTGACATGGGGTGCAGTGATGGGGTGCAGGGATCGGGGTGCAGTGATCAGGGTGCAGGGATTGGGGTGCAGAACTGGCCCTTCCTGAACAGGCCAAATAACACAGGTCAGTCAGCTGGAGCAAGCAGGGCAGAGGTTCTGGAACATGCTGTGTACTGTGCCCAGCAGCCTCAGGTTCAGGCTGATCTTACAACTGTAGGGTTTCAGTGTGGGGCTTCTGTGAGAATGTGAGAGACTCAAGAGAGGAGTAGCTGCTCGACCCAGTTTGGGAAGGAGCCTTGGCTGCCAGAGTTCTGAGGAAGTGGCAGCAGTCAAACCACTTGTGAGAGTGTTCAGACGGCGGAAGACAGTCTGACGGTGACCAGGCTGACCACGGAGGCTGGACTGACAGTGCCTAGGATGACTGAGGAGGCTACTGTGATGCAGTCAATCTGACCGTGAGGGTTGGTCCAGTGACTGCCAATGCTAGTCCCGTGGTTGTCAGGTTGACCATGGAGGCAAGTCTGGTTGTGGCCAAGGCTGATCTGATGACGGCTGGAATGACCACGGTGGCCCGTGACTGGACCAGTGAGCTCAGCAGGAGATGAGGAAGGGGTTCGTGTGCGCAGCAGCTGTGGACGCTGGTGCTGAGGGATTTCTCTGCAGGAGCTCACAGCCAACCAAGGCTTGGTGCAAGGTGTCCAGGATGGCCAAGGTGCCACGTGTACCCTCTGGGGAGAAACAAGAGGGTAGGTTTCCTGATCTTGTCCACAGAGTCACTTCTCTCTTCCCTATCACTGCCCCATACCACTGCCCAGCCCTGTCCTTTATGTTCCTTCCTAACACCTAGACTAGTGGTTCTCAAATGATGGGTCACACCCTCCGGGGTCAAACAACCTTTTCACAGGGGTCACATATCAGATATCCTGCATATTAGATATTTACATTATGATTCATAACAGTAGCAAAATTACAGTTATGAAGTAGCAATGGAATAATTTTATGGTTGGGGGTCACCATACCATGAGAAACTATTAAAAGGTTGCAGGGTTGGGAAGGTTGAGAACCACTGTCTTCAATACCCCTTGTCTCCATTGATAATAGATGGTTTTAAGATCGTGCCAGCAGGAGAATGCTCAGCTATCGGTCTCCCTGTGAGGCCCTGTGAGGCAGGGTCAGCTGCAGGGGCCACAGGATGGTGGAGCTTTAGGTGAATCTGGGACCCTTGGTTGGCTAGTTCTCGACTGTATGATGGGGTAACTCCTTTCGATAGGTTAGCTGTCAGAGTCGGCGGATTTAAAGCACAGAGGCACTGTGGACTTTGAAACTGGCCCATAGTAGGCTCAGTGAGCAGTGCAGTCTGACTTACCAGTAGGCAACCCCACCCTTGTCTGCTGTGCCCATGCCTGCTTCTAGTTGTCATAGCTGCCTGCGGCCTCTGCAGCTCTGTTTGGACTATGGCCTGCAGCATTCAGGGTGGGAGCAGAGTGACCGTTCTGCAGACCAGAGCTTAGGACAGTGCTTGAGTTTTGGTCCAGATGCCCTACAGCTGCCATGAATCTGTGCAAGGCACCCTTGCTTACCCTGTGAGGGATTCCGGTCCAGGGCAGTCAGCAAAATCTTCCCCAGGGCTCTTTTTGATATGTTCTTCAAGAGAGACAAAGAAAGTCTGGATCAGATTGTGTCCCACCCAGCAGGTGGAGTGTAGAGACTCCTGGAAGCTTCCACAAGGCTCCTTGGGGCTGGTTCCACATCCCCTCTCCATGTTCTTCCTTCTGCCCTCCTGCCCCATTCCCCGTTCCTGCCCCCATCCTCCCTTCCTGTCCCCATCCCCCCTGCCTGCCACCTCCTCCCTTTTTGTTCCTCCTGGACTCCCTACTGCCCCTTCCATCATCTTTCTGTCCTTATTCATCACTCCTGCCCTATCCTCCTTTCCCATCCCCTCCTCCTGTCTTCCTACCCTGTACTCCCTCCCTGCCTCCCACCCCTGAGGCTGGCCACACTTGCTTCTCTCAGACTCTCAGTGGGTAGGGGTGGAGCAGTGTGCAGGCTCCAATCCACCAAGGACCAGGGCAGATGCACCCAGGGAAAATGGAGATTAAGTATTCTTAAACACTCGCTCGTCTGACCCCAGAACAAGTTGTTATGCGCACCTAGGCAATGTAAAGGCAGGAGAACCAGAGAGAAAGGGGACCACACCTGTGATCCTAGCACTCAGAAAGTGGAAGCAGGACCATGATTTCCTGGCTAGCCTGGGCTACATAGTGAGACCCTGTCTCAAAAACAAACCAAACAAAGAAAACACTGCCACGCCTCACTGCTCCTGGGGCTGGACCGGCCCTCAGCTGGTCTCGGGCTCATTCCCAGCTCTTTGTCTACTCAGCTATGTGGCTATGTGACATGGGGCTAGACCCAGGCAGCCCATATTCCCGGCAGCCTGATGGACAGCAAAAGTGAACTCTCAGAGATCCATCTGTCTCTGCCTCCCAAGTGCTGGGATTAAACGTGTGTGCCATCTTTAATAATTTGCAGCCATGTATATTTTTAAAACTCTTTTGTTTACTGTTATGTGTATGACTTTTTGCCTGCATGTATGTCTGTATTCCATGTGTGTGCTGGGTGACTGCAGAGTACACAAGAAGGTGTTGGATCCCTTGGGACTGGAATTACAGTTCATTGTGAGGTGCCATGTGGGTGCTGGGAATTGAACCCTGGTTCTCTGCTTGTTTTTGCTTGCTGAAGACAAAGTCTCTTTACAGCCATGGTTGTCCTGGAACCTGCAGTGCAAGCTCTTAACCACCGAGCCATCTCCCCAGCCCTGCAGCCATGTTTAAAAGAGATGTTAGTTTAAATTCTTTCTTGATTATCCTCCTTTGGTCTTTAAAAATTAAACTGGTGGTGCATGCCTTTAATTCCAGAACGTGGAAGGCAGAGGCAGTCAGATCTCTGTGAGTTCAAGGCCAGCCTGGTCTATAGAGCAAGTTCTAGGACAGGTTCCAAAGTTACAGAGAAACCCTGTCTTGAAACCCCCCCAAATTATTTATTTATTTACTATTGTATGTATATGCATATATGTGAGCATGTATGCTGTGGCACGTGTGTGGAGGTCAGAGGGCAACATTATGTGCTCTGTTTTTTTTTTTCTAGAGATGAAACACAGGTCACCAGCTTAGGCGGCACATGGCTTTACCCAGTGAGTCATCTCCCTGGCCAGCTCTGGGTTTGATTACAGCTATATCAGGCTCCTGATGTGATCTGGGATACCCTCTGTTCTCTGGTGGCTTCTCTGAGTCACCATTCTGCATCTGTCAATGGAGGAGCACCTGCGGACTAGGGAACCAGGCTCCTCCACAGCCTCCTAGCCTTCCCGGCTCCCCACAGCGTTGCCCTCAGATCCCTTATAGGCTCTCCTTGGTCCTTCTCCTTCCTCTGGATCTCGCAGCTCACCTCCAGCCCCCCTTCCCTCCAGGAACCCCCGTAGGTCCCCACCAGGTCCCGGAGCCTCTGCAGGAGTTGTAGCACATCCACCAGTTTCTCCTCCAGCAGCGACAGCCGTACCCGCTCTGTCTCCACCATCTGCAGCTCCAGCCTCAGATGCTCCGTCTCTATCTGCTGCAGTTCTGCCTGCGGGAAAGGGTCCGGTGCGTTCCCTACACTCCCTTCCCCACGATGGGTGTTCATAGCTCTCTAGTAAGGTTGCTGGCCTCTCTGACACTTGTAGGGATCACCTGGTCTGGGCTCCTGCATGCAAGGTGGCTGTGCAGACAAACCACCCGGAAGCCAGAGAAGCTAAGTGCCTGCCCTAAACCGCACAGTGAGCAGGACGACGAGCACACACACAGCTCTACTAGAATCTGACGACTCATTCTCTCTCTTCTACTCTACCTTTTGTTTTCTTTTCTTTTTGGTGGGTCTGTGTTGGTAGAAATCCACACAACTGGCTTACACAGGAGGAACACACTGCAGACTAGTGGGTAGTTTCCACCCCATCTTGTCCAGAGGCCCTGACTTCAGGCTAATGGATAGTTTCCACCCCATCTTGTCTAGGGGCTCTGAATGTAAGGACATTCGGGGATCTGTCCACCTTTCTGCAGCAGTGTTGTCAAGAGTGCTACCAGGATCCCAGGGTTGACAACAGAGGAAATGTCTGACACTCACCCCCGGGTCAGGTGAGTCATGTGACAGGCACTTCTTGGCACCAGGGTGCTCAGGGTTCCTATGCTTTTGGGCAGGAGTACAAAAGGCTGCTTCCACTCACTGCAGGCAGGTCTAGATGCTGGCCTATTCTAGAACCTTCCCACTCTGTCACCTTGAAGTTTAGGAAAGTGACAGCTGTGCCTTTCCTTGGGTGCTCCCTGATTGCCATCTTTCCTTGGGTGCTCCCTGATTGCCAGTTCATACTTCACGTTTAACAGTGGCCCTTCTCCGAGGACAGCCTCTCTCTTCTGGGAAGATCCTGGGATCAGGATCAGAGTCTCAGGGAATAGCACGGGGGTAAGAATAGAGACGCAGACAGAAACATAGCAGATCAACCTAAAATCCTGGGGGGTGGGAGAGGGGTCTTGACCAGACAGCAACAGTCAGAGCTGAGCTGTCAAGAGCTCACTACCCACATCTACTCACTTGACACATGCATGGTGGCACTGTTACAAATGTGGAAACCAATGCACAGAGATGCTAAAGCATCCTAACAAGGTCACACAAGTATCAGAGTTGGCACTGAAGCCAGGCAGCCTGCCCTTGCATATCCTGTGGGGCCCTGCTCTCACCATGACTTTCCACCACTCAGGGCTTAGCTTCCACCCTGGGGACCATAGTGCAGGCTGGGGATCCCCAATGGGCCTGGAATTACCTGTAGGAAGCTGAGGCTTCCTGTTACCCATCAGCCCCCTCCCCGACCTTCCTCACAGGAACATGGCTAGTCCTTCTGTGTGCATTAGACTCTCGCTGCTAAATGGGCTGATGTATTGCCTGGTTCTAGAATCACAAACAGAGCCAACTGAGATCTTTAAATTATTAAAACTCTATCCTTGATGATCCCTATATTTTCCAGTCTGTGACTCAAGGCTAAGGTTTCAGAGACACAGCAGGAAACAACCATGTTTACACCTCTGGACAGCTGTGCCTACAGCCCACGCCACTGTCCCCTAGTTCCTGTAAACTTCTGCTTTGTAACCAAGCTAATCTGGGATGGGATTCTGTAACTGTCAATCAAAAGTTCCCGTCAAGTGAAATGAGAGGAAGCCACCCCTCCTGAACTCTGTTCTCAGCTCTGTGAGTGGGCTGTAGGACTGCAAGTTCCCCCAGCTGTAAGACCTGGGATCTTGGGGCCCTGCTGACCTCCTCCTCCTCCGGTGTTCGCAGCATCTTTCCACTGCAGCCCAGGGCCTGCAGTTGTTCCCCAAGCTTGTTGACATGGGTCTCCAGCTCCAGGGTGCAGATGTGGTCGGCACCATCACAGTGGCCAAAAGAAGTCTTGAGCGTCTCAGCTGTCTGCTCATCACACCTGCAGGAGAGAAGAAGCCAGCACTGCAGGGACCTGCTGGCCCCATGCTCCAGCCGTTGTCATGGAGCCTGTCTGCTCAGCGTCTTCCTGGGGCTCCTTGGCTTCTCAGAGGGACCACTGGAGGAGTCCCCTACAGCCCGGCTCCCACCCACCTCACCCAGCCTGCCTCAGCCAATGGACTCCCCAGGCCCTCCAGCATGCCCGAACTTCTGCCTGCTGCTCCTTCCTGGACCCTTCTCACACCATCTACATCCTTGACAGAAGTGCCTCCAGGTCTCTTCACACCTGCCCTGTCTTCAAGTAAAGAGCCCAGGACAGCATGGCAGCCATCTGTTTATTATTTATTCAGTGGCTCAAGTTTTGCCTGGCATAAAAGCACTTTGTATGAACACCAAGAATAGGTGATGCAGTCACCCTTGGAAGCAACAGCTGAACATAAAGTATGGGTGATGCAACATCCCTGAAAGCCACATGCTGTCCCTGAAGGCATCTGATGAAAGCCACATGCTGTCCCTGAAGGCATCTGACATCCTGACCTCATGTCCTCGAAAACTGTTACAGACCCACCTTTGAGACAAGGAGGCTGAAGCCCAGAAAAGTCAGGCAATTTGAGATACCCATAGGTATGGAGCTCATTTTTATTATCCTCCAAGATGCTACAAAGGCAAAACCCATGGGTAGCTGAGAAAGAACCAGCCCAGGGCCAGGCTGGGGCTTTGAACTGTAGGAAGTGATGGATAGCTCAAAAGTGACAGGAATGGATCCGGTCTTGGGACATCGATCAAGGGAGTGATGACTGGTGGGAACGAATTCGCCCACAGGCTATGCTTTCGAGGGTCTTCTCATTCCATGTTCACACTTGTTTCCACGTTTGAGCTAAGACCCCCCAGGAGGGGCTGTCGGGCATCAATATGGCTGTGCCCTAGAACTGTCAGCATCTCATGTTGAAGCATGTGTGAAGGGCCCTGAAAGGCGAAGGCTTCCTGGGAGTTCTGTGCTTTTGGTCTCCACTGCCAGGTCAGGGCTAATCAGTCACTTACCTACTCACACAGCCTGAGGGCTGTACCAGAGGTGACTCGACATGGGCCTGTGGAGGCCTTGACTTTCCCCGCCACCCGTCTTCTTCTTCTTCTTCCTCCTCAGAGGCGGCCTGGCCTTCCACAGAGCGGAACAGCTGCTCTTCTTCTGCTGGGGAAACGTATTATCTAGGAACTGGAGGCCCAACGTGAGGACCATCAGCCCTCCTCGGGAACGTGTGTGAAGGAGGCAATGGTGAGGCTGCCCTCTTCCCGTTACTGGCCCAGGGCCCTGGGGAATTGCATGGGAATCCCTGAGATATCGCCCTGCTGTCTTGTTTCCTCAGGTGACCTGTGATGATACATTGTTGGTGTCAGGGCTGAACATCAGTTCCATTTCAGGGCATGTGACCTGGATTGGGGAACTGGATAAGGGCTTGCAGGATGTTAGTATCAGGACAGAAAGATTCCCAGTTCTCCAATATGTGGCTCACGGTCCCCAACAGCTTTGATGAACTCCATCCTGACTGGAGTGGGTGATGACAGCTGCCCCATCCTATTGCCTTCCCCCCAAGCCCTCATCCCCAGGAGCAGAGCAAAGTCTCCTAGAGAGCCTGACCCTTTTCTGCTCCTGCTCTGCGCACCCATCAGGATGTGCCAATCAGAGGCCGTCCTCTCCAGCCACAGGGAAGGTTCGGGAAGAGCTGGGAACCCTCAGAAGACAACATGGGAGTCAGGAGTGTTTGTGCAAAATGAACTCAGAAGAAGGCTGATCTTTCAGTTCTGTGTTTGAGGGCCAGGAAACGTGCTGGTGCCAGGGAGGGCACACCTGAGTGACCTCAGTATGGGGTGGGGGCGGGCATTAGAGGCAGCTTCGAATCCGTGGACTCTTCTGAGGGCCCATACTTTCCTTTAGCCTGAGCAGTTTGTGCTGACTGGTGTGACACTTTCAGACTTCCTTGCTTGAAGCAGTATTTAAAACCAAAATGATACCTTACCTCATGGTAACCTGTTGACACAGGCATGAGGGATCCCTGGTTCTGGACACCTATTGCCCCCTCCTGGCTCCACCCATGGGTTCTCAGGGCTCCACTGTCTGGTTGGGTCACACAGAACCACCTCAAAGACTTTTGATGACAATGTTCCTACTATCAACAGCATCCCTCCCTTGACTCCTCCCCTGTCACTCATCTGCATTGTCCTGGTGCTGAAGGCAGGGGTAGGTGGAAGGGCTCTGAGCCTGGGAGTGAGGGTTGGAGACCCGGTGCCTGGCCCACTGTGGAGATACCCTAGGTTCGGGCTCTTGTGAAGACCTTTTCAGGGTGCAGGAAGCCAGCCTGAGTAGCGGGGTGGGGTTTTGTCTGGAGGCTGAAGGTGGCGCTGATGCTCAGCCATTGAGAGCAGGGATGAGGCAGGCTGGGGACTGACCTCCATCTGTGTCCTTGCTCCTTAAGCTGGCGTCTGGCTGCTGGGCTCCCCCTGGATTGGTGTCCTCAGCTCTGGTTCCTCTAGTCACAGGATCACCATTGTTGTTTCCTGGCTGTACACTGGCTTGTGAGGGGTTTAGGAGCTGAGGTTTCTCCGACCTGTGGGTAGGAAAGAGATGTTTTAAGAGGTGGGGCTATCATCTTCCATTTCTTACTCTGCACAGGCAAGTAATTCATTGTCCTACCAAAGTCAGGCTCCCATAGACCAGAAAGAATGTTAAGATATGTTCCAGTTTTCCTTGTCAACAGGGGACAGACACGAAACCCAATTTTAGAGAATGGGATGCAAAGCAAAATCTGTAGACACTAAAAGACAGGTTTCCATCGTGTAACAAGAATCATGAGAAAGGAAATGTCCTTTCTGCTTTTGGAACAGTCACGCGGTGACACTGTGCGTGGGTTGCAGCAGTCATGAGCAAGTGTTTGAGAGAACTGCCCAGGAGTTGGGTAAGAGCCCCAGCATCTTCAGAGCTAGCCAGGCCTGAAGTCGACTAATTCTATACTTAACACACTTGGCATTTAAAAAGGTTTACCTTTGTTTTATGTGTGTAAATGTTTTACCTGTATACGTCTATGTACCGCGTGTGTGCCTGGTTCCCGTGGAAGCCAGAAGTGGGCACAGGAACTGAAGTCACAAATGGTTGTGAGCCACCATGTGGTTGCTGGGAACCAAACCTAGGTCCTCTGCAAGAACCGAGAGTGCTCGAACTGTTGCTTCATCTCTCTAGTCTCAGTGGGACGGTTTTTTAAAAAGTTAATTTATTTTATGTATATGGATGTTTTGCCTGCATTTATTTTATGTATATGGATGTTTTGCCTGCATGTATGTCTGTGCAGCACACGTGCACTTGGTACCCATGAAGGCCAGGAGAGGGTGTTGGTTGGATCCATTGGGACTGAAGTTATAGATGGCTGTGAGAACCATGCAGGAACTGGGAATTGAGCCTGTTTCCTCTGGGAGAGCAGTCAGTGCTTTTCATGGCTGAGCCATCTCCCCAGCCCTATATGAATTTTTCAAAAGTTTACATGTTTCACTTAAAAAAAGAGAGACAGAGACTCATTATTGTTGCCCATATTGGGATCACAGACATATACCACCATGCCTGGCTAGATTCACAGACCCTTTTTTCCACCAGACTCACATACTTTTAATTACATTCTATGTCTTGGCCATGAAAGCCTTTAACTGAGGAATCTCCCCTCCCTGGGATTTGAAAAACCCACTTCATTCCCCATCAGTCTCCTTGATACTTCAAGGTTCCTATGTTTTGAACGTTTGTTTTCCATGTCCCTGCAGTTTACAAGGTCAGATAATAGAGAAAAAACTGACAAAAACCGAACATATATTTATTTATTTATTTTTTAAAGACAGGGTTTCTCTGTGTAGTCCTATCTGTCTTGGCACTCGCCCTGTAGACCAGGCTGACCTCAAACACACAGAGATCCCCCTGTCTCTGCCTGCCAAGTGCTGTGATTAAAGGTGTGCACCTGGCAACTCTTGCTGTCCTAGTCAGGGTTTCTACTGCTGTGATAAAACACTGACCAAAAGCAACTTGGGGAGGAAAACGTTTATTTCATCTTACAGCTTGTAGTCTGTCATCAAGGGAAGTCAGGAACATAAGGCGGGAACCTGGAGGCAGAAGCTGATGCAGAGGTGTGCTGCTTACTGGCTTGTCCCTCATGGAGTTCAGCCTACTTATATCACCCAGGACCATGCCCAGAGGTGGCACCACACACAATGGGTTGGGTCCTCCCACATTAATCACTAAATAAGAAAATGCAGCACAGGCTTGTAACAGGCAAATCTGGTAAGAACATTTTCCCAGTTGAGGCTCCCTCTTTGCAAATGACTCTAGCTCATGTCAAGTTGACATAAAACTAGCTACCCCCGCCCCCCAACATCTTCTTCCAGCTAAGCTTCATCCCCTTACAGTTCCATACTCTCCCCAGAATTCTCAGGGCTAAGAGTCCAAACATTTCACATCTCAACCATAGCAATATGCACTGTCATTGTCCCCGTTACACAGAGAAGAAAATGGAGACACAGAGAATCAGAGCAATCTGCCTACCTCAGAAATAGAGGACCCTTGAGCTTCTCCAGACCCTTCTCCAGGTTGCCCCCAGGCCTTACCAAAGGGAAAGGAAGGCCTGGAGTGACACAGTATAACCATTGTCAGCTTTGGGGACTACAGGTCACATACATGGATTTGGGGCACGACCCAAGGCAGGGTCACGGTGAGGGAGTAAGGTTAGTGTTGGGTCCCAGCCCCCACGGAGTTCTGTGCATTGCTTGTCAGCTGATAACCACAGGAGCATCCTGTTCTCTAGTCCATGCCCACCTGACATCAATATCTAGCACAAGGAAAACAGGAGCTCTTACACCTGCGGTTTTTCTACTGTGCTGTAAGTCTGTATATAAGGCTGCTCACTCCTTATGGCAGACACACAGGCAGACACACAGATGCGACACACACACACACACACACACACACACACACACACACACACATTCTCTTAGCACAAACTGTTGGATGACACATCTTTCATTTCCTGATAACTTAGACTTGCTCGTGAGTGGATGCCACAGTTAGGATAAAAACTTCTGAATTTCCCAAGAACCTCAGGTTGGTCACAGAGGCAGACCATTTGAGGGTCCTGTGGCTCTTGTCTGCTAACTGGGATGTAAGTGAGTACTCTAGGTCAACACAGCTGCAGACTCGCTTGTTAAGTCACCAGGAGACACACTATACTTCCTTCCTGGGCTGTGTTCTGTAGGGGGACCCTGACTTCACCGGGTACCATTCTCTGTTGGGATCCTCAGTAGACTGAGGGTATTTCTGGGAGATGTCAGGATGGTGGTAGCCAGGAAGGCCTTGCTGGAGCCTCCCTGGTGGCTTGATGGTCCTGGGGAAATGAACTCTGGTGACTACCACTCTTCCTCAGACCCAGGTCTTCTGTGTGTCTGGGTGTTCACTCCAGCTGGTCACATTCATACTCTCCTGGAGCGCCACTGAGCCTCTGATAGCTTCCATGTTGCAGTCCATGGCCACATCTGGCTGCCAGGCCAGGGGCTGAAACAGTCTGACAGGAGCCAGATGTTGTATTTTCTCCCTTCCATCCTGGTTCTGTGATGCCAAGAGGCCTTAGAAGCTGCCACTACCCTGCAGGGGAGACTATGGCCTTGCTGTGTGTCCTCTACCCTCATCCCCTCTGAGCTGCCTCATTTCAATTCCTGACTTGTTCACCAGTGAACGATGATGGGGCTCTACTCTGGGTTGGATGATGAAATGAAGTAAAGGAGAACCTGTCTCCACTGATGTTTGGGCTGAGTTTAGGGGGCACCTAGATGAACAGAGAGACTGTATATCCAGTTAAGCATTTACTTCAATGTCTCTTAAAAATAGTGAGCACATTAGTTTTATATATTTCATTATCTTTTAAAATTTATAATAGTGATATGACTTCCTTTAAAATTATTTAAGCTGGGTTGGAGGTGTAGGCCAGGGGTGGATTTTGTCTAGTGTATGTGAGCATCTGGGTTCTATGCTGGCCCTGGAGAGAGAGAGAGAGAGAGAGGAGAGAGAGAGAGAGAGAGAGAGAGAGAGAGAGAGAGAGAGAGAGAGAGAGAGGGAGAGAGGGAGAGAGGGAGAGAGAGAGAGAGAGAACAAAGTAAAAGGAGGGAGCTGACTTAAGAAAACATGGTAATAATATCAGGCACTCCGTACATGTGGCTAACAGGGCTTGGGCCTTGGGAGAGTCTGGAGGTTAGAAAATGCTCAACTAATAGTAACAAGCAGTTTGGGGCATCATTAGAACAGGCTCTTCCCAGGCAGGCTTCCTTTGCACAGAGAGCCAACTATCCCGACTCTAACAGTCTGAAGTCACAATGCCGATAGGTGTACATTTGGAATGTTCCCTAGAGGCCCGTGTGTTGAAGACTTGGTGCCAGCTTGCTGTTAACTGGGAGGTGATGGAGCCTTTTAGGAGGTAGGGCTCTATGGGATAAAGCAATTTGGGCTATGCTCCTGGGGGTGGTATTATTGGGTTCCTGTCTCTTTCTTTTTTCTTTGCTTCCAAGCAAAGTTACAAATCCATTTCTTTAGCTACCGAAACACACTGGCCACATTCCAGGTGTTCAGTAGCCACACAGGGCTCTGGCACCACTTTTGAGAGTACAGAGAGAAAGGAGGAAACTTCACATCAGGGCAGCACAGTCCAGTCGTGGATGTGGATCTAAAACAAAGGCTAAAAGGTAAGTTTCCCACCACAGGCCCCAAACAGCACAGCTAACCCATCACGAACATGGAAAACCACAGCTATGAGCCAAATACCTGTCCCCCATCTTCTGTGTTTGGGATTAGGCAGACGGCCTCATGAATGCTGAACCCATGCTCTACCCCTGGTCCAGCCCAAACCCCAACTGTTTCTTAGGTACTTTGTTATCATGACAGAAGGTTGACTAATGCAGAGCATTTCTCTGCTTTCTCAAAGCAAGCTGGATAAATAGCCCACTTTTTATTTTGAAATATTAATATCATGATACTATAACAGTAACTTAAATGGGGAAAAGAATTTTATGTTATAATTCAGTATGAATTATATATAATGAAGTTTTCAGACACTACACATAATGAGTGAGTCTGAATTGGAAAGAGTCAGGGTGATATTTCCTTGGGTGTTGTTGGCATCCTTCATATATCTGACAGTTTGAAACACAGGTTAAGAAAATGTATTCAGGGGGCTGGCGAGATGGCTCAGTGGTTAAGAGCACTGGTTGCTCTTCCAGAGGTCCTAAGTTCGAGTCCCACCAACCACATGGTGGCTCACAACTATCTGTAATGAGATCTGGCACCCTCTTCTGGCTTGCAGCATACATGCAGACACACTATTGTATACATAATAAATAAATCTTTAAAAAAACAAAACAAAAAGAAAATGTATTCAGATACAAAGATAGGCAGGTAGACACACAGACTCACAGATACATAAATGTCAGAAGTTACTGTCCCTCAGCAGTAAGGACACAGCTTCTACCATCTGTGATGTTGGGAAATGATGAGCAACTCTTGGGGAATTCCAAACAAAACAAAGTATAAGGCCTCAACTCACAGCCTCATGTTCTTGGAAAATTCTTTGCATAGTATAACGGTAGAAAATTGTTCACTCTTCATGCAGGGTTCAACTCTGATCTTAGATCATTGCTGTGGAAATATTTCACACACCAATGTCCAGGTGGCCATGCGGAAGCTTTGGGGTTCAGGGGTTCACTTTCTTGACAGGACCCCGGGTGTAAGAAGTCCTGTGTCTAGTCATTCTCCCAGAAGCCTCCAAAGTGTCCTTGAGGAGACAGACAGCCTCTCCTTGTTCCTGATTGCTCCCTGATCTTGGCCTTGTGTCATCCTGGCCAACCTTTTTCATGTTGGTGACATCTTGTAGACAGGCACAAGGGGGTGCTGGTCACCCTTAAGACTATTTCTGTGCCCTAAAAGGATGCCATCTACGGTCCCGTCTGCACATGGCCTGCCACTATCCTGCCTTTTCCTCTAGGACCCCTCACGGTGGTGGTTTGGGCTGTGGGTTAGTCCTGAGGCTTGCTTGCCATCTTTTCAGAGGAAGGAAGCCACCCTGGCTTATATGGGGTAGTGGCTGGGGCTGGGTAGGGGCTACTGAACTTGACACACAGTTGGTACTCAGCCCATGCCAGCTCCGTTTACCAGGTCATCTCCATCTTTCATCTTGTTTCCTTATATTGACCCCACAGTTTAAATCTGATCTACACTGTCCAATATGGCAGTCACTAGTTGGCGGTGTGGCTATATGACTTTAGAATAATTAAATTAAAGATATAAATACATTTTTTGTAACCACCATACTACACTGTTCACATTCTGGGAGTTCAGTAGCCACACAGGGTTCTGGCACCACTTTTGAGAGTACAGAGAGAAACAGAGGAAACTTCTAACTCATGTCAGGGCAGCACAGTCCAGTCGTGGACATGCATCTAAGACAAAGGCTAAAAGGTAAGCAATTAGTTTATAGTCATTTCCCCTAGAAATGTAACTCTCATTTGTGGACTACTAGCTCAGTTCACTGCTATGCTAACGTGGTGAAAAGCTTGTTTCTCTGCATGATCTGAGCCCAGCACTGGACTCTGTTCTTCATATAAACACAAAATATTCCACAGTCAAGATTCTCCACACCATCTCTACTGTGGCTAATCCCCTAATCAAGACGCTGATGGTATTCGGAGGTGGGCCCTTTGCAGGGAGGTTGGGATTAGATGAGATCATGTGGGAGAGTCCCCATGGGGGTATTAGTGACTTTGTTAGAATAGTCAGTGTCACTAAGCTTACTATGTAATGCCCTGTGTCATCTGCAGTGTGAGGATCTTGCCAGATGCTGACACCATTCTCTGGAGCTTCCCAAGCCAAATAAACCTCGGTTCTCTACACACTACCCAGCCTTGGGGGTTTTGTTATGACAACAGAAAACAAACTAAGAAAGCACCAGATCTGGGGAGGAATTATTTAGCTCATGGTGAAACCAATAGGAGGAAGTGATGGAGAGCCCAGCTGGGTTTGTAAGTCAAATGTAATCGAAGATGGCACCCTTGCCACATAGAGAAAACTGTAATGACCCCAGTTCACACCCTTCAAAGGGTTAGGCTTAGGGTGGACTCAAGACCTAAGTGTGAAGGAAAAGTAATCAGAACAACACACAGCGAATGAATTTGTGACCCAGAGGTGGACAACTCATTTCAAAAGCAAAAGTCGTAAGACAAACGAACTTGATCACATTATAGCACACTGTGGACTGCCCTGTATTTCTTGGTCATAGGGCATGGTTATCCTCTCCACTCCTGACCCAACAGATCCTCTTGGGTGTTGTAACACAAGGCTTCCTGGGGGATATAGGGTGATGCTCACTTAATGTCATCTAAGGAGGTGGTGGCTCCCTCTGGTATGGAAGGGAGAAGTGGTGCGCTGAGGGACCAGGCAACATGGTCTGAAACTCAGCACTTAGCAGTTGAAGAGCACAGGAGGAAGAGGAGGAAGGGGAGGAGGAGGAAGGGGAGGAGGAGGGAGCATGAGAGCACACAGTACCATCCAAGCAAACAGAAAACACATGCTTTGCAGGAACACACACAACGGACCTGCACATGCTAGGCAAGTACTATGCCAGATACTGTCATTTAATCAGGAGCTGACAAACTCTTTCTGAAGGCTTTTTGTTTGCTTGTTTGCTTTGCTTTGTTTTGTTTTTAGAGACAGGGCTTCTCTGTATTGTTTTGGAGGCTGTCCTGGAACTCGCTCTGTAGACCAGGCTGGCCTTGAACTCACAGAGATCTGCCTGCCTCTGCCTCCTGGGTGCTGGGATTAAAGGTGTGTGCCACCAACACCAGGCTTTCTGAAGGCTTTTAAGCATAGATGATGCTCAAAAACATCCATAGAGATGCTTGGATGTCAAACATGGATGTAGTCTCAGAAAACCTTAGGCGATTTCCTCAAACACTTAGAATTTCATGAAATTTTCACACTGTGAAATATCATGCTTGAGTTTTCTTTAAATCACTAAAAACGAAAATGTCCCAAGCTAGCATAGGTTTGGGCTCTGTCTTGGTGAGTTAAGTGATGATTCCTGCCAAGCTTGTCAGAAGCAAAGCTTGTCAACCAACAGCTTTGTTTCCAGGCTAACATTCTGCATGAGGCCGTAGCTTTAACTATCCAACAACTGGGGTGAGAAGATACCCTGAAGGCTATGGGGAGCCACAGTCACTGGAACCCTGTGGTCATCCCACAGGCAGGATGGCTGATGGGTTAAGGAGAAGCATGTTTCTGAAAACATTTCTTAGCTGTCGGAACCACTTGTCCCTGCATTTTATGTCCGAGGGCACAATGTTATTATTTAAGCCGTTATGAGCTGGGTTTGTGACTTGCAGCTGTAAGTATTATCTTTAGCATTTATCATTACTGAACCACTTACAGCACTGATTGGGGGGGAGATGAAATAAGGTTGTGTAGACAAGAACTCTGGCATACTGCCTCATGCACAGCAGGTACTCAGAAATGCTGGCTCCTGTCCTGTGTCCACGCCACCTCCACCCACCTCAGCCCCATAGGTCCAGACTCCAGCTGGAGAGGGTAGGCTACTTCTAGAGATCTGTCATTTACTTATACCATGTTTATAGCAAGCTCCAGCAAGGTTTTCTCTCCAGGAGGTGGTTTTGGAGGTCCTTTTGTTCTGTGACCAGGATGAGGCCTACTTAAATGGAGGGGTGAAGGCAGCCTGGAGTTCACAGCATGGCATGGGTGGCCACATCCATAGGAAGAACCCCCTGTCAACCTTGCTTCTGGGGTCTCCTGGACTCAACGTCACATCTTCTATCTGGAAGCAAGTGAAGAGTGTCCTAAAACATCTGCAGGTGCCTCCACAGCAACCATAACAACCTGTACCTGGAGTCAAGGGGCACATTACTGTGCTATGCCAAAGCCAAGGCGAGGCGTGGAGACCATCTCACGTCGGTTTTGGCTTCTTCTGGAATGGATGGGCAGGGTCACAGGTGTGTCTCTTGGCCTCCAGTCTTTTGAGCCTCGGAAATTTCATGAAGCCATGAGGGTGATAGGACCCTCAGACGGCAGGTATCCCCAAGCTGTCTGTTGTCAACATTAGGCTGTAGCCTTCCCTGGAGGTCCTGGGGGCTGTACACAGTGGCTTCCTTTGCTGTGAGGTATTTCCTGAGTGGAGAAGCCTCCCGGAGGTTGAGACTTCATGTGAAAACAGGAGAACAACAGCAGGAAGAAGAGCCAGAGCGCTGCCGGGGGACGCGGAAAACGAGCTACCAAGAGGGCAGCACAGGGGTAGCTCAGGGGTCTTCTGGGCACCTCTGCTGGCCAGATGCCTGGTCTCTGGTTCTGTGGGGGTCTGTGGCAGTCCAGCTGGTCAGCCCACTGCCGATACTGTCTTCGGATCCTCCACAACATATTGTGGGGCAGTCCTTAGCAAGAGTGGACCCAGACCCCACGGCTTAGCTGGCCCCAGGGAGATGGAAGGAAGTTGTCACAGAACAAAGGGATGATGGGAAGGAAGGGTAGACTTCGGAGACAGCAGGGAACTGCTTAAGTGGGGTGGGGTATCTGTCAGAGACCTGTGATGGCCACAGGAGACCAACCCAGAGAGGTGTGGTAACTCATGGGGTGAGTGGGTTGTGGGCACAATGCTGTGGGCTGTGGTAGAGCTAAGGCCAGTGGTGGGATCACTTGGAGCTTTGAATGCCAAGGCAAATAGGCTACAGAGGCTGTGATTAGGGAAGCTGTCCAGCTCTCTTGGGTGGTCAGAAGGCCACTTTGGCCTTGCGTGTGTGATCAGTGCTGGAAGGGAGCAGGGCACGGGTAGAGGCCAGGACAGCTATCGGGGCAGTGCTGGGCAGAAGGCAAACAGGCAGGGCCGAGGTAGTCACAAGGTGGCGTGGGGGGCTTTCTGCCTCCTCCCCACTCCAGCTTGTATGGCTTGTCCTCATCCAGGTTAGGACCCTCTGCATATCACACTCATGTCAACCCTGTGTTCTGCAGTGGGTCTCCCAGGCCCAGACCGAAAGACCCAAGTGATATCAGCCTGAATGTCAGCACTTGCATTGGGCAAGGCATCCCCAGACTTAAACATTGAATTCTGGCTGCTGGAGACGGGGCCTGTACACTGTTAATAAAGAAAAGCAGGGTGAGCTTTCATCCTGGTTGTGGAGCATCTAGGCAGAAACACTCAGAAGTGGGTGTTAGCATTGTTGTCACCATCTCATTTTACAGATAAGGAAACCGAGGCTCCTGGGGGCAAGAAGGACTTGCTGAGGGGCATATGCTCCACATCCCAGCTCTGTCTCTCCCCTCCCCACACAGTATGTACACCAAGATGAAAGAACAGAGGCCTCTCCCAGTTAATGGGTGAAGAACTTGGGCCCACAGAGGAGAAAACGCCTGAGTCCTGCATAGCACGTACAAAAAGCTGGGATTTGAATTTGGGGTATCCAGGCCTCTAAGCCTGGGCCTCTCCCCAGCTTCTCTCTGCTTTGGGTCTGTTCCATTGTCCCTGAAAGAAGGGCCTGTTCCTACCAGTGGCCACCCACATGGCCTCAAAGAACAATAGGACAGTTGCCCCCTTTGTCCTTTTTCCTCTTTCTGGCTGGTTGGCTGTGGCCTCCAGGTCAGGCAGGGCTGTGGCAGTGGGTGAGAAGAAAGGAGGTAACCCTTGAATGGCCTCATCTTTTGTGCCTTTCACGGTGGTCTCCAGACCAAGCTGTCCTCTGTCTCTCTCCCTTCCTGGCTTTTTCATCCTCCTGACAACAAAACCACAGAGGTCAGGCCCTCTGTGTGAGTGTGTGTGTGTGTGTGTGTGTGTGTGTGTGTGTGTGAGAGAGAGAGAGAGAGAGAGAGAGAGAGAGAGAGAGAGAGAGAGAAAGAGAGAGAAGGATGTTCTGTATCCCTTGCTGGCTCTGAGCTCCTAGCCAGGTGTTCTGAAGGCTGGCTGCAGGGCAGGGGAGATTTCAAAAGGAAGGAAGGCTATAAATGTGCCAGAGGTTTCACAGCCAGGACAAGAATGACCCTTCCTGGAGGCAGTGCTGCCCTTCAGACCTCCAGGCCACTCTGGATAGCCTGTGCTCACGCTTCTGAGGCATTTCCGAGGCTAGCAACCATCCACATGTTCCTGCCACTACTCAGCTGTGTATTCCATCTGGCTGTGTGTCAGACCTGGGTTGGGTCTGGGCCACTGAACACCAAGCCTGCTGTTTCTTTGGAAGGAACAGTTGGGGGAAAGGGACCGTGGGAATGATGATGTATTAGTAAACCCTCCCTAGCAAGCACTGAGGTGTCTGCGCCACACCCGTCTTTGGGGACAGAGTTCTCCCAACCACCCTCAGTGTATTTGTAGACGGGAAACCTGACATGAGGACAGGCCTGTTTATGTCCAGCCAGGTCCCTTCCTGGGCTTCACTATCCAGAGCCATTAACAGTCCCAAGTAAGCTGCACCTGTGGTGAGAATGGGGATTTGTGCTGTGAGACTGTGGTGGTTTGAGAGAAAATGGTCCCCAGAGGGAGTGGTGACCTTGTTGGAAGAAGTGTGTCGTTGTGGGGGGTGGGCTCTGAGTTCTCCTAGTCTCAAGTTACTCCCAGTTTTAGAGGCCATTTCCTGTTGCCTTCTGACCAAGATGTAGCCATCACCATGCCTGCCTTCATGCTGCCAAGCTCCCTGCCATGATGATACTGGACTGAACCTCTGAACTGTAAGCTGCCACCTCAGTTAAATGTTCTCCTTTACAAGAGTTGCCGTGGGCATGGTGTCTCTTCACAGCAATAGAATCCCTAACTAGGGCAGAGATCATGAGCTGATGAGGCTATGTGGTGTCCACATTCCCTCCTGGTCCTCTTTGTGAAGGTCCCAGCCCCAGAGGGCCTTGCTGTGAT